GGAGAGGCTGTTTGCTGGGAGAATTGTGACTATCAAACCCACCACACTTTCTTGTTTGTAACTGGGGTCCTCAGCTGCCTGCACACAAAAATACAGTCAAAAAAAAGGTGGAACAGCTCCACAGAGATCTGAGAATGCAGTTTCATATGCCTTAATTAGATGACAAGTTCCTTGGGGCAGAGTTTTAACTTCTACCTTTTGGTTCCTCTTCTACTGAACAGTAGAACAAGTGGTGAAAGTGGTATGAATTGGAGGAAAGTAAACAGAACTTTTCATCCTTTCCCTTTCTATTAGGTAAAATAAATCAAAATAATTTAGGGACATGCTAACAGAAAATCCTATCAAGCTGAGAAGAACTTATGTTTTAGAATTGATAAATAAGTAACACAACAGTGCTTTTCATATTCATCCAAAAGATGAAGGTTGAAAGCACAGGTAGGGAGAAATTAAAAATAGTGGGTTTTTTTTTGATTCAGGCCAGCCAGTCTATTCTCTTCACATCTACAGCCACCCTCTTGTGTGCATGGATAAGTTTGAGACCTCTCCAGGCTCTACAGCTGAAAGCAGCAAAGATTGCCATCTGCAAGGCAACAGCAGTGTCCTCAGGTGGACTCCCACTTTGGTTTGCTTTTCTAGGATAATTTATGACACTGGCATCCAGCCTTCTATCAGGGGGAATTTATTTTGCAGGTCTGTTAGTATCTGGACAGGAAGAGAAGATCCATTGTGCTTATGACTACAGACTCTCAACATCTCTGACATCATTCAAATCAATACCAACTGTACATCAGTCAGGGATGGCAAAGTCATCCACCACCTCCCCAAACTGGCCTAGTGCCAGACAAATGCAGCATCATGCAGTGACTCCAGCTGTTCCAGTCTTCTGTCTAAAGCCAAAGCCACTCAATTATTGCCAAGTAAAAAAAGGAAAATTGTTTTCAAGACCAAGGGCATAAGCTGTTTGGGGCTGCTGGAATTCCATCTCTTCACTCAACGCTGCATTCACAGCTAGAAAAAATGGGAAAGTTTTTAATGTATTGAAGCTCCTGAACAGACTTCAAGGTTATTCTCAAGCAGAGTTTGTTCCTAGTTAACTGCAGAAATGACAGCTAAATGGGGGCACATCAGAGAGAGAACAAGACCTGCTGGGGTAGGCTGGGACAGCCAGCTTGGAGCACCATGATGGATCATTATTTTTACTCAATTTCAAGACCACAACTCTACAAAGTTTTGTCTTTGCTCCCCTCTTCTTCCATATAACCTGTTCATCATTTAAATCTGCTGAGGGGCTCATGAGGAACAGTTCTAGGCCCACCACTGGAAGCATCCCTGAGCAAAGACTGTGAGCATTTCATTCATATGGCTGCCAAGCTTTGTCAGAGCTATTTAATTATGTATGCTGTTTAGCCCTAACTCCAGCAGTTCTAGAATAAGTGTCTCTTTTCCTTCCTTCAGTTTGGATTAAAGCAAATCAAACACAGGGTTTCAGATTCTCTCCTCAAACTTCTGGACCAGCTTACATTGATGATGGGAGAATCTATTAGTTTTTCTCTGTTGGTAGGTCACTAAAATGTTATTTTGTGCTCATTTTTCATCCAGCAAAAGCTCAGGCATTTAGGAATGAAAAATTTAGGTTAGTCTGTCCAAATCTGCAGTCAACAGGGAAACAAACCCCTTCCATTCTGTAACAGGGAACAAAGGGAAGCCAGCTGAATAATCCCTTGACTCTGTTTATAAAGGGATCTGGTATCCCCTAAATAAGACAATACAGCTTTTTTTTGGTTAACTGGTGGTTAAAGAGATGACAACCATAATGCTTTATCAACATCATTCTTCTGATGTAACCACCAGCAGCTCTGACTCTTTGCTTAGCACCTCTAGCATCATTGATTTGCTCTTGCTGGAAAAACATCCAACATCTGTACTGAAGCAGGAAAGATTCTGCTTTTGATTTGGTTTTAAAGAGGAAAAAGTCATGAGGTACTAATATAAACCTCAAAAAAAACCCCTTGCAAAACCCCACCAGCCCTCTCCTCTCCAAGCTGATTACAAACATTGACCTTATTAGCTATTCATTTAGCTCCAGATAGCTTTAAGCAAAATCTTACACCCTTACTAGCTCCCACCTCACATTCCTGAAACACAAGATCCCAACGGGACAGTGCTAAATGTCAAAACCACCTTGCCAAGCCCTACTAACTACCTAACCAGATGTGGAAGCAGAAAGGGCCAAAATCCCCCCAACACTTTAAAAACATAACCCTTATCCAGCAGTTCTGGCAGAAGCAGAGGTTTTTTTAGAATCACCTTGCTTTTGCCTGTTAGATTCTACAATCCCTGAAAAAAAGCAAGGGGTAGGCCAAGAAATATTCTCAGAAGCTTCTAGTTTTATAAACTTATTTCCCCCCCTGCTCCTGGATTAGCTGTTCTGGTTGTGTTTGCATTTTAGAAGATTTACTGAAGCCCTTGGCAAAATGAAGTAAAAATATTCACAGTAACTGGACCTGCTTTGCATGAATACACCCTGCACTATTATAAAGCAGAGCTGCATACAGCAGAATCAATCTCCAACTTATTAAAACTATAAAATGCTGTGTAGAGATAGGATGGACATTTTTCCAGCTAGAAAAACCTCTGAAAATAGTGGAATATATTACATCTACACTGAGCTTTCCACTACTACCAGTGATACATCCTAGTGCCTGCAGCTTGACTGACATCTTCAGTGATGCTTTATGAGTCTGGTTGCCTGTTATCTCAGAGCTCTCAGTGTATTTCCTGGCCATTCATTAGACTGTTACACACTTTTAGGGATGACTTGGGTTATTGCCTTGTACAGAACTAAAGCTTTGGCTGTGTATGAATACAAGTCTGGCTATAGAATTAATATAACAAAGCCACTACATCTGTTTCTCATTTTCAAAGCACGCAGCCCTTGCAAAGAAGTATGAAAGTTCAGATCTATCCTCCTGCAAGAAATAATCACTTTAATTGTCATCAGAGCACTTCATTTGATGGCTTAAGTGTCAATCACTGAACAAAATCTGTGGTCTAAGTGCCTGTAAAGCATCAACTGGTAGAAGTCTGCATTTCACTCACCCTTTTTACAGGACAGTGCCTCAGTGTAAATCCAATTTTATTGTATTCAAAGCAAACTATGACTTGAAGCACCTATGGACAAAACACATGTTCTGCTCTGGTTTTGGGTTCCCAAGACAATTACTGCCCATTCCAATACACAAATGGGATGGGGAAGTAAGGGAAGAGCTACTTTAAACAGCTGAATATTCCCATCTGCCAAAGTCTTTTAAAAACAAAGAAAAAAAGTGAAAAAGTGGGACTCCAAAATAAAAAAAGCAAGGAGGAATGATGAGCTGCAGGTAGGAGGCCAGTTCAAATGCCAGCACTAACAGTTGCTCTTTATTTGCCACTTGCTTTTTGATGACTTTCTACCATATTGCATTTCTTTTTATTACAGGTGCATCTGGAGTATTACAAGTTAATCATTTTTATGATAACCGAGAAACCAGCTTATCTTTTTTAATAATAAAAAAAGGTGAAAGTTAAAACTCCAGCTGCAGTAAAAACACAGTAAAAGGCACAGGTTCTTGAGAGGATAAAATAAAACACAAACCAATTTTGTAATGGAATTATGGAAACATTACTTTTCAAATGATGAGATAAAAGATTCACCAAGGAATAACAGTAATTCCTCCACAGGAGCACAGCGTGAGTCACTCATTCAAAAAAATGAAGTTAATGTCTTAGTAAGCAAATACAATCCCCCAAAATAACTACTTTCTAATTAGAATAGTTTATATTCCTAGAGATATCTTAGCAACAGTTATTTCATTATCGTTACGATTTCTAAACGTAAAATATGTTCCAGTCTTAACACAATGCAAAATAAAGGTTGGAAAGTGAGAGGAAATGAGCCAAGTAACACTCAGAGAGGTGAAAATAAAATACAATCAAATAGATTTATAAAGTTTTTTGAGTAGGTTAGGACCATTGTCATATTTGTATCAGAAGTTACAAGACCCAGCACAGGAGACCAACCTAATCTTAAGGTGTAGACATACAGAAAGTTACAATAATAAGAAAAAATTTAGAGAAAATCAAATCCAAAGGATTTTTTTCCATCTCAAATATATCAAATTTTAAAAATTATCTAAAATTTTAACTTAAAATTTATATGCATACCCCCAACTTGCTTGGGCAACTTGCTTCACCACAACCACCTGCACGAGCAAGGACGACCAGAATTGAGAAAACTCTCCAGAAATGGGCTCAGAGATGGGAGATCATCTTGTGCAGTGAGATGTATAACAAAAGCAATTAAATGGGGGGAAAAAATAGTATCACAGTTATCAGTCTGACATATGCTTCACATATCCCAGTCGAGCACCCACTGCCTGGGTGGAAATCACACAACCAGCCTGAGATATGTGATGGGAATGAATGAGTGATGCTGCTGGGTTGTGTTCTGCTGCCCTGCAGACACGTGCTAAGTGCTTTAACACTCAGCCAACAGGAGCTTTTGGTATTTAGAACTGAATGGTGTTACAAGTTGAGAGCACATCGTGTCAGGTGAGAATATTTGTCATTTCTATCTCACACCTCCCAGCTGCTAAACCACGACAAGCTCCAGAGCACGTGGGCCATTAATAATCAAGGCAGTTGCTACCAGCTTCCTAATTTGTGGCTAAGCCCCATGCATCTATTTCAGAACACAGCAAACTCTTCCCCACCTCAACTGCTGGGTTAAAGATTCAGATACAAAACCAAAACCCAACAAAAAACAACCAACCCAACCAAAAAACCCAAGGAACACCAAACAAACCTCAAAAAATCAACACAAAAACCCCCTACAACACTCCCTCCCCTCCCCAAACCAGTAACCAAACTGGTCCCCACTGACTTTTGTGAATGATGTTGACTCAAAGCCTCTCATGGCCCAGCTCTTCTACATCAGGTAGGCAAATTGTTACAACTAGAAAATGTTAAACCAAATCCTGAGAAGAATCCAAGACTTCCTGCCAGGAACACTTCTGCCTCCTCGTTCCCCACTTCTGCTAATAAAATGATCTTTCCTGATACCAGGAGAAGAAGTTTCTCCAGCCTTTCAGGTCCCAATCCTGAGAAACAGAAGTTTAGATGGAAAAAAAAGCCCAGAATATTTCCAATGTTGACAACACTCTTCAGTGGGCAGCAGGCTGCCTTCAGTTTTGACCCACAGCTCAAGAGCTTTTCTGGCTTAGGGAATTAAAGGCATTTTTCTCAGCTGCTGTGGAGATCACACGACCCTGTGTGCACCATGCCAGGCTAGAGGAAGACTATGAATCATTCAAGAACCTCAATTTTCTTTACAAGCATTCAAGTCTGTCAGAGTGAACAAAGCAGGCCAGGATGCCCTCAGATGGGATCACAGAAGGACCTTCACGATAGAATAAACTGCTCTTTTATGACAGACTTCACATCATAATTCTTTAGAAATGTCAGCACAGGAGGAAAAAACAAACAACAAAACAACCAACCCAAACAAAAAAGACCAAGCAAGAATTCCACCTTGTTCTTGACAGTTGCTATGACCCAGAGGAACTAGCTGGGATTTGGAACTCATCAGATTTGCTGCAGCAGACGTTACTCTGATAGCATGTACAAAGAGTCTGAAAGGAACATGCCAAGCATGCTTCAGGAGTTTCTGGGTCTGCTGTGACAGCTGAGAAACCCAACTGCACAGCTTTCAGACACATAAATAAGCCCTCTGAAATAAATAAATTACTCCAAGAGCAACACCACAAGTCTAAAAAGTAGTTTGGGTCAGGATGCAGAGGCCCAAGTTCTACCCCTCCCCTTCAAATCCTACCAGCTGTATCTTCAAGTCACCTAAACATCTGGGAAAGAAAAAAATAGGAGGTCACAGAGGGTAAATTTGCAAATATCCCTCCAGAAAAGCAGGTGATTTTAAAAAGGCCCATGTAATTTGCCTATTATCAATAAAAGCCAATTTTAAAAGGTATAAATTATGAAAGTATCTGCAACTTGGTGTATCACTGAGACTGACACCAAGTTTTGAGCATCCCCTGCAGGAGATGTGTCCTGGGTTGGAGGCTTCACCTTGTGCTCTGCCTTCTACCAAAGCTGCTCTCTGAATCAAGCCTGATGGTTTTGGGGATAGTGCACCAGAAAAAGTTCATACTGATGTAGAGCATTTCCCCCTGTCATCTACTGGTGACTTGTGGATGTGAGGTTGACATGAAATAATTTTTCTGGATTTTAATAGAACCGTGGCAGCTTCACCCTATGAGGCCTCATTCTGAAAATAGATTTTTTGACAGCAGTCTCCTGCTTTTTTAGAACACTGACTTTGACACTTGCTTTAACTTTGACAAAAACTCAAAGATCTTTATGGCCAATGCCTTTTGCTCAGTGTTCTGCACACAGCTTTGCTTGTATCTTGCTAAGGCACAGTCTTCAAAAATGAGGTGACTACTTGTAGGGAACTTGTTGGGATATTTCAGAAACTTAGCATTCCAACTTCTTAAATCTCATGTAAAATGTGTGCAAAAATCAAATAAAACCCAACCAAATATAATTTGGGTGAATGGGACAAAGAGAGAAATCAGAACAAATGAACCTAGGAATGATTAGCTAGTTAAGCACAGGCAGAAATTGGATTTTACAAAATGTTGAATCAAAATAAAGTAAAATAATCTCCCTGAAAAGCAAGATAGAACTTATTTCCATCATACACTGTATACAGAAAATTAAGTGCCTATGTGAAAAGTCTGTTCTCTTCATTCAGCCACTCTGGACAGGAACAAATGCCTAACTTTGGAGCTGTGGGAGAACCTACCTCCTTTTTGGTCTAGCCAGTGGTCTAAGTCCTCTTCCTCCTTGCTATAGGAATGGTTATAAAGCTTGTTATACTTTGTATGAACTTCTATTTTCTTTTCCTGCAATGTTTGTTATGTTTGGAGCATGTCAAGCCCTTTTAGACCCTCAGACTTTATGGTCTACAGCTCAATGGATCAGGAAAGGGACCAATGTACCCCAACAATGTGGTTGGCAGCTAAGATAATTCCCAAGAGTGGTCTTAAAACTTGTCTTCAGAAAGCAAGCAGGGGGGTTTGTGGCAAAAATAATTCAATTTTCTACAAAAACTGAGTTTTTTTTAATCTTGTATCTCTTCTGTGGAGTAACAGGTGCATGAAGAGGATGCAGTTCTTGTGCTCCAACTGTGTACAACCAGCTAGAATGCAGACATAGACTCAAAGGGGCCTCTTTAAATTTATTTAGCAACGTAGGCAATTCTCCACAACAGCATAAATTGAAGTTTCCTTTGCAAATTGCTTCAGAAGGAAGCTCTGCAGAAAAGCCAGGAAGTAGGAACAGTATTTGGGGGAAATGCAGACAGCATGGAAATTACTACAGGGAACACAGATCTCAGACAAATAAACAGATGAGCAGAAGGAAGCTAGAAATGCCTGTCCCAGCAAAGGGAGACACTTTTCAGATAGCTCAAGTGCTGGGTGACTGACTGGGGGTGTGAGGAAGAATTACACTTAATTGTGCAAGGCTTTTTACTGGGAATTTTCTTAGGCTCTGTTATATGCATTGTTCCCTTCTAATTATTACCCTTCTACCCCTAATAATGTGCACAAATCTGTTTGTCACCTTCATAAAGCACTCACTAAACCTCCTCTGAAGGAAGGAAATCACCCTGCTTGGAAAGTCACTAACTTTGAGAGAGAGAGAGGGGAAAAAGAAGCTATTCTTAGAACATACACATCACTCCTAGTCCTCTGACATATCAGTAGTGGTTCAACCAGAGGTGACAGGAGAGTAAATGCATATGGCACCTGCCTGGAAAGGTATTTGAATAAACACAGATGTGCTCTGACAGCTACTTGAAACATAAATACTTTCCAAGCTGAAATCCCAGTAGTGGCCAATCTGTCAGTAGCCAACATCACTGTGTATCTCCAAAGGCACTCACACACCACCAAAAAAGGGGCATATTTGGCACAGACTTTTCTTTGGCACTCTGCACTGGTGACTCTGTACAACAGGACCCCAGAGAAGGAGTGAAGAAGGTTTGCAGTGGAGAGGGGATGTTAATTTTCATTTAAATATAACAGCCTTAGCTGGACTATGGTCAGAATGCTGTAAGTCAAGATACTGGTTTTACATCTCATCTGAAAGGCAAGTTACTGGTGTTTCCAGAACTACAAAAAACATGATAATAGAAATTATTTCAGGTTTTTAAAACTTTATTTACTGCCTTCAGTATTTCATGTAAAAATTAGCTACCTATCCTAACGTGTCAAAACAAAGGAAACAGCTGAAGTGCAGAGAGAAATGGAAACCTGTGTTAAAAAAAAAACATCATTCCTCACCTGATCTTCTTCTCCACCACCCTCTTCATCATATTTCAGGATGTTGTCCCTCACATCATCTTCTGGGTCGATGAGGAGCTGCTTTGCCTGGCGCTCCTTATCACGGCGTTTCATCCACACCACGAACATCAACACCAAAACTAGGTTGCCAAAAGGGAAGACACAAAACTGCACATTGAGTCTGAACTACAGCCATGGGATATTTAACACCAAGATTTAAAAAAAAAGAAAAAGAAAAGGTAAAAAAAAGCAGCCCTGGAAGTTGGTTTTGACTGTTCTGGATGAGGTTCTTTTTTTCTTTAAATAAACACAAGGCAGTTTAAGCAAGAGATGTTTCAACTCAGGCTACTGTAGGCAATTTGATTTGGAAATCAATCACATACTCAGGGTCATAAGTCACAAATCCATTCCACATCTGCAAAATAAACCTGTCACGAACAGAAGTAAGACCAAGCTTCATAAAACACTGAATTCAGAAGGGAATCTCTCCAGCACTGAATTCTGAAAGATTTCGTTTGTATTTTTTTTTCTGCTGTGTCCCAAGAACACACAGCAATTTATATAGCTTAAATAATTCTGATGTTTGAACATCACCATGCTTAAGCCATTGTAGAATATGGGTCAGCAGTCCCTGAGAACAGACCATAGTGTTGGCTAAGTTTAGATTTATGTTTAGAAGCAAGAGGAATCAAGGTTGAGGAAAACACAGTGGCATTCAGAGTTGTGCCATTCGTGGTGATATCTTTAATCCCAACAATTTCAAGTTACACTGTTTATAAACTAAAGCTGTTAAAGAAATCAAATGAGAGAAAAAACAGTAAAAAGTGTGAGTAAATTAATTTCTAATACAACAGGCATGTTTCCAATTACAACCATCTTCATGGAAAGAAATTCCAATGTACCTACAGTGTCAATATATGAAGAATGTCTTAAAGGATGAATTTCAATAAGGCTCTGTTAATTCAATACCTGACATTTTAAGAGTACCTTGTATCAAGAAAATAATTGTACTGTGCTTGTGTACAGCCATGAGCTTAGCCAGGCTCAAACACTTTTAGTTTAAAGTTACTCCTTTCTACAATTTTGTATATTCTTGACTAATACAGTGTATTCTGAACAGGTTCATACCTTCCTTGTGTTCCACCACAATTAGAAATCAGTTAGCCAGGATGTGTAGGAGAGCTAGTATCTAATTTTCTACACTGGACAGACAGTCATGATGTTTAGTCATTTCCCTTACTGAAGGCACTTGACACAAATATCAAATATTAGCACAGCTTTGAGAGCTAGCATCTAATTTTCTACACTGGACAGACACTTAGCCATGATGTTTAGTCATTTCCCTTACTGAAGGCACTTGACACAAATATCAAATATTAGCACAGCTTTATGTAGTACTTACACAAACACAACTCTGTCCCTGCATGGCTGCCTGCTTGTTGGGCCTTATAGGAAGGGCTGTGATGTAGTATTTTCCAAAATCATCCAACAGCCTGCTTACATGATGTGAAGCACAACAGCAGTAACACCAGAACACTCCTCAAAGGCACTGTTACCTGCTGTGGGTGGCATCAAATCACACAGGAGCACAAGAGATGCCTGTGGGCTCATCAGATCTTCAACCTGGTCACTCCCTGGTGTAGCTTAACAAGTGCCCATGGGCACAGATGGAGAATCTTTCACAAACCCATGGTGGGGCCTGACTGCCATGCAAGCTCTAGTTATGATCTCCTAGACTCCTTTGCCATCAGAAAGTTCTCTCACTTCTCCAAGACATGAAACTAAGCAGCAATAATTCTCGAGACTTGAGTTTTTAACCCTTCCCTTGTCTTTGTCAAGGTACGTGGAACTAAACTGTGACATAGCACTTGAAAAACAAGAAGAAGAGAGTGAGGAGGAAGAGATCTATCTACTCACTGAGCAAGATGATGATGCACAGCAGGATTGCAATGATGGCACCAGTGCCCAGCCCCGCGCCAACGATCCGGTCGACGTCGGTGCAGTCCCCGTTTATGTCACACTGACAGACTTTCACTTTCAGCACAGAAGTGCTAGAGGCATGTGGGTTTCCAGAGTCTGTGATCACTATGGGCACGTCGTAGATACCAGCCTCCAGGAACCTGATCCTTAAAGAGAGCTGGGCGTGATCCCCTGGTGGGTGAAAAGAAGGCACTTGTTAAAAGGTAACGTACCGCTCACGTGGGTTTCAAACAGGATTGGCCAAAAAAAGGGCTCATTTTTCAGCTCTGCATTCATGTACTGCTCAAAACAGCACATGACACTCAGAATAACAGATTTCTTTATTACTGTGAACAGCTTTTTCCTAAAATTTCTTGTCTTCAGGGAACTTACACTGAGGTGCTTTCCTATTCCTAGCACTCAAATTCACTTACGTTGCAAAATCACGTCCAAGTAAAAGACAGAAACAAAGCTATGCAGTAGTTTCTTTAAAATGATTAAGCCTTCTATAATCTTAATTACCACTAATTCGAACAATGGTCCAATTCCTCTTAATACTAGCAGGTGTGTCAGGCAGCTCGAAGGCAAACGGGCCAGCATTTGGGTCTATGTCAGGGTCTACAGCAGTGATGTTGATGGCGTTGGGCTGGAGGGTCTCACAGGTCGTGGCCTCTTTTGGATTCACTTGAGGGGCATTATCATTGATGTCCAGCAGGTATATCTGAAGTGTGCCAGTTCCACTCATTGGGGGAATGCCTGAAAGGGAAGAAAATGGCATTGAGCCTGTTTCTAATTGCAAAGTTCCTTAACTGAAGCTATACTAACACTTTAATAACACATATATATATATATATTCACTTTAGTTTGTGTCTTTACCAAGCCAGTCTAATGCTGTCATTGCTCCTGCTGACACTCACATTCTTATGTAGTTTGTTCTCAGAAAAAAACCTGCTCTACTCAGCAAAATTTAGCAAGTAATTGCAGATCCACAGATCAGGGACTCAACCCCTTTACTGACCAGACAGCCAGTCTGTCTCCAGAGATGGCCCACATCAAATATATCAAAGAACAAAAATGGGCAAAAATGGATAGCTTATCCTCTGGAGAAATTATTTTGTCACTAAGACTCACAGTCATCCTTTACCAAAGGAATGCTATTTAAATTCTTCCTAATACTGACGTTCAACATGCTGTTTCTAGACGTTCTTGCCATCCATGTGTGATGCTTCTGGAAACCTTGCTAAAGTCACACATTTCTGTGAACATGTGGCACTGAATTTCTCAGTGTAACTAGCAATGGTTCTCATTCCACACCCCCCCTTCCTCATCTTCCAGTCCCATTTCATTTTCTTCTCCACGACAGAGCCAAAAGGATAGAAAGAGTTGATTTAGGTTTGCTATACTGCATCAGTACATAAAATTTTACCAATGTCTCTTCTCTCCAAGGTAAATAGCCCCAGTGTTTCAGTTTTCCCCTCTAATGTGAGGCTGTTCCTAACTGCACCAGCCCATCTTTCTGGTATCAGCCACGACCAGTACAGCACTGTGGCTAAAATCAAAGGGCTCATTTCTGAGCAGAGATTGTTTGTTGCCATTAAACTGACAATGAAAAGACATTTTTCCCTCTGCACTGCTGCAGCCTGGATGTGGAAAAATACAACATCCCTTCCCTTCAAGCCCACTCATGCTGTGCCTTCACCCTGCCTACTGCACTCCTGTCCAGGTTTGGGTAGTTTTCTGTCGACTCAACTAATTTAAGCCAGTGCCTTTCTCCAAACTCATATTTTTCAGCCCATTTCCTGAGTGGCTTGGATATGTAAAAGTCTGCTACTAATACAAACTTCCAGCTGGATGTATTCTAAGCATTATCTTGTTTTCTGCACCAGTAACACCAAATGCCATCCAACCAGACAGAAGAAAGCTTTCTGAAAACACCCACAATGTTGATACATACCATTATCAGAAGCAAGGAACGTTGCATTATACATGTTGTTTTGCACATATATTGACTCTCTGTCCAGGACAGCTGTAGTAGTTATTTGTCCATTAATAGGGTCAATTTTCAGCCAGTTTGCAGGATCTGAAAGTTTGGAGTACCTGTGTGTTTGATCACAAGATGTGTTATTCCTCTGGCAACAGAAATATTGACAGCAAAGGCAATATTAGTATTTTAATTTCTATTCTAACACATCCAAATTCCAATAAATTTCCATTTTTTAAGCCTTGTTGCCAAAATCCTTCCAAAAGTATATTAAAAAGTCCTAAATTTAGATTCCTGAATTGCCCTGCCATGTAAGTTATCATGTAACTGCAATCACCATAAGCTACAGAACATTCATATTCAGATTCAATTAAATATTTTCACTAAGGATTCCTCGTTTGTTCTACCTTCAGAGCTATTTATATGAACTTTTATCAGATTGCTGAGAGCAGGAGAGATGTAATAATGGATAAAGAGAGTTAAGAGTAGCACTAACTGGCATTATTTTAGTGCTTCCAGTATCACCCTAAGTTCATTTTTTAGAGGCCCTGGTTTTCTTTCCTGCTTCTCCACTTAATTTGAAAGAGGAGTGTCTTTCCAAATCATCCTTCTAGCTGATAAATCCAAGTGCAAGCTATCTTAGGTTATTAAAAATGCATCTATCCCTTAATCCTCATACTATCATGCCTGTGATGTTTATGTCCAGAAATGAGGAAAGCATCAGCAAGAGAAAATAAGATTTTAAGAACCTTGAATTTGGAAGAAAAGACAGTAAATTCTTGTGTTTCCTCCACAGGATGTAAAAAAAGCTGCTGGATAAGCTAGGAACCTGTGTCTTGGCCCAAGGCCCCTGTGCCTCAGCTCTGCAGTCAATGAACATGTTTTTAAATGAGGTATGCCAAAGCATGCTCTAAGCTTTCCATGATAAAACTTTCCATGTTTTATCCTCTTTTCTCAATTAGCAAGGTTTTAGACCAATTATGATTGAACTAGGACTGTAGCTATCAGTATAGGAATTCACAGATGGACAGCAACAGCACTTTGCACTGATGAAGACTAAATAAGAAGACCACCTTTAAGATGTGGTCAATCTGACACAGTTTTGCTGCCATGTCAAAATGATTGGTTCATTTAAATTGCAAATGATCTTAACTCATACAACGTGTCTGCCCTGACTGAGGATGTCACATAGATTTTAACACAAGTCCATAACTTCACTCCCCCTTGGTGAGGCAGAATTTAGCATCAGAAGATGACCCAGTTTACAGATCTATGAATGCTGGTCAAGGTCAACTTGTCCACAGCAAAATAACTCATTAGAGAGAGCTGCCCAAAAGCCACAGGAGATACTGGTACAGCAGTGTGCTGTGGTAAATGCAGCCATTTCACATGCAGTTTCTCTGCTCCCCACCCCTTCCATAACACAGATCTGGCACTCAAAAAGTTAAATAACAGCAAAATGGTGATGGAGACCTTAGAGAGGTTTGCTGCATGTAACGATCTGGGTCCTGAGCAGTGAAAATGGTCAACACACTGCCAGCAGGTAGCCCTTCTTCCTGACGTACAAGCTTGGGGTTTGGGACAAAGTAGGGGCTCTCGTTCACATCAATGACTGTGATGGACACGGTGGCTGTTGACTGAGGAGGATGCTGAATCCCCTTAGCCAGAGGCACTTGATTTTCTGCAGCTACTGTAAGTACAAACATCCTGTTGGTCTCGAAGTCAATCGGCTGGGAAAAGCAAAGAGCAGAGTGTTAACATTTACTTACAATAACTAGGGACACAAAATAGCATTTTTTTACTTTAAAGCACATTTTCAAACATCACTTGTGCTGCTTTGCTCAAAAATGAGGATGGAGTCTAAAGAGAACACGATGTTACACCTCAACACCAGACTGAGCCAGGGTTTTTGCTTAGCAGCAGCAGTTTTGAAGGCAGTACAGCTAGAAATCTTGTCATTCTTGGCTTTAACTTCCTCTTGTACTGCCATTCAAGGTAACTGAGGAAACAAGCTGTTTCATCAGAAAATGATGTAGAACCTCCCAGCTTTTTGCCAGGCACTCATGCGAGCAAATGTGCCTCCTGAGGAGCTCTCCTGGGGAGAGAAACCTGCCTCTGTTAGGAGGATGAAGGCTTCCTTCAAACAAGATCATGACCACACGTAGCCCTGTAGATCACAGATTCCCATGCCCTTAACGTTTCAACTAGAAAGACTCTTTGTAACCCAGCTAATCCTACTTCTGGTCTACCTACAGCTCCTATCTTTAGAGTCTAGACAACCTTCAGTTTGCAGAAGTCCAATTTAAGGAGTAAAACCAGTTTGAGGCCAGAGTTCCTGTCCTGATTCACCTCAGTACTATGCACTGCACTGCTCACACTGATTCTATACTTTGAGGTAACCCTGTAGGGGCATCTGGCATGTGACAGTATGAAGTCCATGACAAAAGACAATCCCATCTTCATTACAGGTTGACAGATCTACTCATGGCACTGCCAATAAGAATTGTAGGCAGGCTTCCAACTCTTCCTGTGTCTGAGTACTTAAAGGAGTGCTACAAAGCACAGACACATAATTCTTGCTGGAAGACTGCAATATAACAATCAGCACCTCTGGGGAAGTGCAGTTATAAAGCAGAGAGTTTAAAAATAAAGCAACCCAACAAAAAATAGTGTGAAGTACCAGAATGGCTGTACAAAAATGGTTGTCTTTTTGTCACCTAGCTACTGAGAAGATTAAAAAAAAGAGAGAGAAAAAGAATGAAGAAAAAAAAAGTGAATGTTTTAATTTCCAAATGGGAACACTGGCATGTCACACTTGACTTTGTAAGTGGATCAGCCAAAACCAGAACAGGCCAACTCAGAGAAGAGACACTTATCAGAAGGCCATGAGAAAAGGTGGTCGCTCCTGGCAGGTTTAATTATAGAACCACATTGTTATTATCACTTGAAATAAGTCACCCCTCAGCACAAAGCTATGTTGGCTAGACAATGAAGATAGGCAGGTTATTCCATAAAAGGTATTTAAATGAGGTTTTAAAAATAGGAACTCTCTAAAAGCCTCTTGTAGAAGTAGCCTCCCACCTATCACTTTTTTCCTCTCTGATTGTTGCCTTGACTGCCTCTATCTCTTCTTTAATGGGAACATGTTGACATAAAACCTGCAGACAACTGTGACTACTAATGGAGGCCAGGAGGTAGGAAGATTTTCCTCTACACTAGCAAAAAATACCAAGCAAATGGCTTTTTTTTTGCAGACTAATTCCCAGCTTTTGGTCAACAAAGCTTCAAGAGCTGCCATTTCCAACAACCTAGCCTGATTTTCAGACATGGCCATTGGGATGTTATTGACAGCGTAAAGGAGGACACGTTCCAAGAGGTGGATTCCAGACCTGTGCTGGCCTCAGTTGCCTCTCCCTCAACATCATCCCACCCATTCTACCTCTTTCTTACCTTGAGGACAGTCACCAGCCCATCGTTGCTGTTGGGGTCAGTGAGGATGGTGAACCTGCCCGTGGGGTCTCCCCCTGTCAGCCGGTACATGGCGTTCCAGGCAGGGGTGTGGGGTTGGTCTTTATCTGTCACTGTCAGGTTGGCCACGATCACGTCCACCCTGTTTTCTGGTACCTCCCCGTAGAACTGCAAAAACAATAAAAAAAAAAACATAAAAAAACCCCCCAAAACAAGATGTGTTGCTTGGGCTGCAGAAGCACTCGAGAGCCACGCCACGCTGAACGTTCATCAATGCCAGGGAGCACATCTCCCTCCACTGGAGCTCTGATGATTTCTCTAGCAAAGTTTACCTCAGGCCACCCAAAAAACTGATGCTTTGAGTCCTCCATCAGCTTCTGCCTCTTGGCCTAAGCAGAATCCTGCATCCTAGGGTTGTCTATTCCACACACATTTCCACTCTGCCTGCCAAATAGCTATTTACTCTCTGTGAGCACGATGAGAGGAGTGAGGAATGGTGATAAATATGCACATCCTTCAGCTCCTCCTCCATCTTACCGTCATGGCAGTGAACTCTGGAGGGTTGTCATTGACATCTGTCACGGTGATGACAGCAGTTGCTGTGTTTGAAAGCCCATATGTTGGGTTTCCTTCCATGTCCGTCGCTTGAATGATTAACGTGTATTGCTGTACTTTCTACAACACAAAAATGACATCAACATCAGTTTCAGACAAGGCTGACACAACGGTAGGGTGGCAGGTGTTCCCAAAATGGCACTTTGGTAAGCAGTGGAGCTGTTTGTTCTCATTAGCATCACCCTAAATGACAGCAGCAAAGTTTGTGCCACAGGAATACAGCAGCAGGTCCTATCCATATCTATATCTATATCCATCTCTCTATCCATATCCATATCCATCTCTATATCCAGATCTACTTGATATTCCTTCAAGTGTCTCCAAGATGAGGGACAGAGGACCTTCTACCTACACTCACAAACCACCACCCCTTTATACAGCTCATGGCATTACTGCTGATTTCACAACGCTTTTCAAACGTGGTACAAAAAAAAACCACCAAACCCACAGTGTCGTTTATACTAGAAGAGGGTAAGTCCTCAAAAGCATTTCAGAGAACTGAGCCAAGGTGGGTTTGGTGGCCAAAGGGCCACAACTGCCAAGGTTTTGTTCCAGCCA